TTGTCAGTATCTCCTTCTTCTTCCTGAATACTTAATCTGATCAACTACACTATATTATTTTCTAGTGTATTAGTTCTCATCATCCATGCATTAGATATTATCATCTTATATAATCAATGTTTGTCCACAGTTACTTACTTTTTTTTTTTTGTATATATATTAGTTGGCCATTTGATTTCTTTCTATTTATAGTAGAGACGGGGTCTCACTCTTGCTCAGGCTGGTTTTGAACTACTGGCCTCGAGCAATCCGCCCGCCTCAGCCTCCCAGAGTGCTAGGATTACAGGCGTGAGCCACCACGCCCGGCCGTTACTTACTTCTTTACCATTTGAGTCTCACCATTCTTTCTTGGATTTCAGATCTTCCTTTTGAGTTCATTTTCTTCTTCCTGAAATATGCCTTTTCCAATATCGTCTAGTGTGAATCCGTTCTTTGCCTAAAAATGTCTATTTCACTTTTAAAAAAACTATTTGTTATAAAAAGTTTTATATGTAAAAGTAGAGAGAATAGCTTCTTTTGGAACTTTGGATGTATGTCAGACCTCTACCTTTCATGTCTCAATTTCTATTTAATATTTTCTATCACTAGATCTTCATGAAGTTTCTGGAGAGGTTTTCAATTTTTTTCTTATGCATTCTTCCCAGGCCTAAGGCCATGATACAAAAGTGTATTTCTCTGTGTATACATGTTCTAGAAAACCACTAAAATCATTGCTTTTCAGGGCTCCATGCTTTTTGTACACATCTCTGATCTAACCTCCCCACCTCGCTGAAGTCCTGGGCTTTGTCTTCCATGGATATGATGCCCTTTAAAACATAGGCTTTAGAGCGTGAGAGATGGCAAAAAATCCCAAAGCAAACAACGGCCCTGGGGCCAACTTAACCCTTGAAATTGGAACTTTTTCCCCCTAGCCTCTGGAGATCATTACTTCTTGCCAGTTTAATTACACTCATATTTTAAATTTTTCCATACGTGTATGCATGTATATATATTTTTTCCAGGCTTTTTGTTGTTGTATGGTAAGTTTCTCTGGCAATCTTATTCATAATGCTGTTGGACACTTAAGTCCCTTTAGTTGATCTTTAAGTTGCTTTAGTGCAAATCTTTTAGCATCATGGCAAATTAAAAACTGAGAAAGAACATCATTGCCATCTGGTGGAGAGACCTACTATTACCACATCTAAATGAGATCCACTGTGACTCATGGCCTTATTACCTCCAGTTAGTCACTGGGTCCTGCTAAATTTTTTTATCAGGTCTTTCATATCTGTCCCTTTATCCATTCTTCCAGTTCTACTTTAGTCCAGTTTCTAATTTTTTTTTTTTTTGCTAAAATCATTGCTCTTGAGCTGGTCTCTTCTTTTAGTTACTATTCTTTCATTATATTTTCCTTGTTCTTAGTGTTGAACTTACTTTTACAATTCTACATTAATTTGATGCGCTGTTTATCAAGTTCTTGCTTATGAACAAAAATTTTGGAAACAATAACAACAGTCTGACCAGGGTTGAGAAGAAAGTAGAAGTCCAACAAATATTGGCTGAATTGAAAGTATTTAGCACCATTTGCTCATTTGCCTAATTCATCAGAGAGGCAGTATTTGCATAGAAATTCCAATATTGTTTTCTGTAATAACATTCAGATGAATGACACTGACATATGTAACACTCCTGTGGGCTTACCTAGATTTTTTAAAAATTATTTTTAATTACCAAAGGAATGTATACATGTCTAATATAAAAAAATTCAGAGTTCTATAAATGAGTAATTATATTGATGATGCTCAGCACCAGGGTTCTCACCATGGAAGAAGAATATGGAATGGGGAAAGGCAAGGAAGAATCCTGTGTGGTTGGACTGGAATCAGAGATGTCAGTAAAAGTTGTACTTTCTAATATGTTTCCTAGCTCTTTCTGTCGAAGGGGCCGAAAAACAATGACAACCTAGGAGGCTCTGATCTTAGTTTCTAAACACCATTATCCATTAAAAGAAACTAAGAATCTTTGGAAACATGGCTCATTCCAGGGCTGATGTAGGAGGAAAAAAACCCTAAGAACAAAAACAAAGGTAAACTCGGAATATCCTATGCTGGAAAGTAAAGAATTGCTCAAAGAACAATAAGATCATGTCAAAAAGACCCATAAACCAGCTTGAAAGGTCTCCTACTGGCCAAATTTGGAATATGTTGATATTAAAACAAATGATAGTAATGGACTGAATAATACAGGAATCCACGAGTTTATACTAATATACTCAGAATGCCACCTAATATAGAGGAATGATAAAGTTGGAAAAATCACCAACAATTCAACCATGAAATATCACTGGATGTTAAAATTAGTACATGAAAATTTATTGAGAAACAGAATACTTGAGAGTCTCTAAGAATTTCCCCATAAAATGCTTATTAGTTTACTAGAAAAAATTAGAAAATTTACAATGTAGAAATCTAGTAGATATCACCTAAGACAGGTGATCAGAATTAACATCCTTGTACGAGATAACTGACACCATATGATGCACATGAAAAGGACACAATGTCAACTTCTGTGGTACTCCTGCCAAAAATGCATAAATTCAGTCTAATAATGAAGAACCATCAGAAAAATCCAAATCAAGGGACATTCTATAAAAAAGCTGACCCATGCATTTCATGACTTTGATATTTTTGAAAGACTGGTTGAAGAATTAATTGTTCCAGATTAAAGGACATTGGAGACATGACAACGAAGTGTAATGCATTATCCCTGATTGGATCCCAGACCAGATTTGATAATAGTAACATATGCATGTAAATTTTCTAATTTTGATAACTGTACTATGGTTATGTAGGAATACTCCCTTGTTCTTAGGAAATACAAACTTAAGTATTTAGGGGTAAAGAGGCATCACATCTGTAAAAAACACTCAAGTGGTTCAGAAAAAAGCACTTATTCTAAGCTGATGATAAAGGGAAACCTCTAAAGAATGACAACTAATAAATACATTAAGAATAATTAAAAAACAGAATTTTGCAAAAATTCTAGTAAAAATTTATTCAGACAAGTATCATCAAAGGATACTAAATCCCAAAGGGGCAGGTTTGATGAGTAATAGAATTATCAACATGGTCTCAGAGTTTCTCCTCACAAATTACCCACTAATCACAAAAGGAAAAACAGTAATATACAGTGGAGAAACTGGACATCTTACCTAAGTCATCAAAATTAACATTACCAATTAGGGACAAAGGGATCTTCTGTGCATCTGGGTGGGATATCTGGAAGACACATCACATACAGTATTTCAAGCCCCACTGTACAACCTGAATCTAACCATGAGGAAACATCAAACTGAGGGATATTCTGCCCTTTAGCTGCTCTGTATTTTTCAAATATACTAATATTGCAAAACACAAAGAAAGCCTGAGGAACTATTTCAGATTAAAGAGCCATGACAATAGAATATACAATCCTGGACTGGACTCTGTGGCTAAAAAAATATTACCAATAAACAACAAATGAAATTAGAATATGGGCTGCAGATTATAATATCGTATCAATGTTAAATTTCTGAATTTGATAACCGTATGTAGGCAAGATAGTATGCTTATTCTTATGACATATATATAGTATTAAAGGGTAAAGTGTATGAGGTCCATAACATACTCTCTAAAGGGTCAAGGATAAAAGTATACATCAAGAGATAGAAAATGATAAAGCAAACATGGGAAACGTTACAAAAGAATTCCAAGTACAGAATAAAGTATACATTTTTCTTCTACTTAAAATTCCCAAAAACAAATATATGCATATATGTGCATGTATATTTCTAAGACACTAAAATTGTTAGTACTTCCTACACTCCCCCAGGTAAGGGAACTAGGAGCTAAAAGGTATTTGAAGGTTGGCATAAGGGTTGTAAAGGGTTAAGTCTATTTTCTCAAACTTTAGACCCACTACCGAGAAAAACAGTATTACGTTTCCAGTGTTTTCCATATGGATACACTCACTTCTGCAAACATATGTAATTCTTCCATCATTTTGACAGCTATATATATTAATGAATGAATGTATAAAATTTACTTAAGTGTTCTATTGGTATTTGTTTCTAGTTATCTTTTTAAATACAATCTGAGATTTAAAAAAAAAATAGGTTCTTTCATCAACTTTTACATTTACTTTGATAAAAGTTATGTTTGGCCTTAATTCTGTCATCTTATTTTGCTAGTGTCTGTTTTTATGCTTTTCATTTAAAAAATATTTTATTGGGGTTCCTTCTCATCTAGTAACTACTTCTACTCAATTTATGTCATATTATTATTATTTAGGCAGTATGAAGATTTATAATACTAACAAAAATCTTCATAGAAGAACCCCAGTTTGGCCACTGGCTCCATTTATGGAAGGCTACTCAAGGGGTGAATATAAAATATGAGTTGGGCAAATCTAGATTCCATTTGATTCCTGAAAAGAGCACGTTTCTCTAAGTCAACCAATCCAATCTTTAATGGCTCTGGGACATTCTCTGATCATGTCTTGTTATGAGTCCCTTGTGTTATAATTTTAATTAAAAACCTCAAACAGATCAAAGCATGAGGAAACTTACTGCTCAGAGATATTATTTATATTTTATATATTCTTGTGATTTTTCTGGATATGAATAAATAACAATATATCCTAGAAAAGCATATTTGAAAAACCTTAAAGTTAAAAAGTTACAATTATAAATAATTTTCAGAGTAATTTAAAGACAAAAATGCTGTATCTATATCATGTCTATATCATGTGATCATCTAATACATGATCACACTATTTATTCTACATATTTTATGGTGATATGTATTTATACACACTACAAATGGAAATAGGGAATACTTATTTGGTCTTCCATAGCAGGCTATAGGTTCTAAAAGCAGAAATCCTGAACTTCTGAAGGCAACCTAAGAAAAATATTCATTTGAAACCTTAAAGTAGTCCTTTTAGCAGTCTACATTATTACAACAACAACAACAACAAAAGAGTCAAGATGTTTGCTTTGTTCTATTTATTTCTTTTTGGAAGTCAAAGCAGGCAGCTAAAAAAAAGTTTGGTTTCTGCTTCAAAGAGCTTTTCTCAAAGAGTAGGGATTCATTTTCATTACACATCAACATGGATGAACACCATTCTTCTGGTTTTCATGACAATTTGAATTCAAGGTAATATGTATATGTTTTTCTGAAATCCAGTGTATTCATTTGGACATACGGGTGGGTGTACCTTGTGCTCTTGTTCACATATGGAAGGGACTAGCACTTTGACTTCAAGAACAACTTTAAAATCACAAGTCCAACTTGTCTTTGATTTGCGTCTGGGCTAATTACTAAGGAGCCATTCAGCAATAATGGCCTCAAACATTTAAATATCCTATGAAACTGCAATTAATTTAGAGAAAGCTGATTCTAAGCACTATGCCACCAGTAACAGAATGAGGGAAGAATTTTAAGTCTGGATGCCAAGTTCAGAGCAAAATATCTGTAATCTTCTTACTTTTGCAATATTTATAAATAAAGTGGGGGGGATAAGAATTATATGAATAATGTTAAATAAAAGTGCATACAAAACTGGGAAATGATTTTCATTAGATTTGCTACTTATTCTAGTTCGATAAAATGCTTATAAAGAAAATAACCACTTAAAGCAGAAGACTAGTGACATTGTTGCTGTTTAGAACTTCTTGAGAGCAAAAGAATGAATATCAATCAACTTCCCTGGTTTAGACTTATTTGTCTTAAAACATGTTATTTTATAAGTTGAACATCAATGTTATGCCTTGAAAATTCAAAGCAGAAAGTAAAATTACATAGAAAGCCAAAAAACTTCATCAATACATCTAGACAGATGTTTGCTTGTAGTTTTTGGTATCTAAAACCTTTTTTCCACACATCGCGCAGATACCTGAAACAAAAGAAAACGTGAGCAATCAAATCATAATAGTAATTGTTTGGTTAATTTAAGTCAAGCTTAATTTAAGTTAAGCTTAAAACATCATGTAACAGCATCAGAAAATAAATATTTACTTTTAACTATTAACAAGTTTTACGTTCTATTTTGACTCAAAAAAAGGTTTTGATTAATATAATTTAAGAAAGGCTACTCCTTTTCTCTTATCCAAATCAGCAGCAAAATAGGTTTGATATGAATAAAAAATGGTATTTAAAAGGAACTTACCCTTTTTGTAGGCACAGCCCTGGCAATAATGAGAACCTGGTTGGTGCACAGAACTTTTACAAATTCTGCAAGTGGAGAACTTATTCTTTCCATATGGATCAAATCTAGAGAATTTTTAAAGATAGAGAAATGTATATTACACTAGAAATACTCATTAATAACCTTACTTATACAACACCCAGGATTAATCCCTGCTCTCCATTCCCTCCATCAAACTCTACCATTGACAGGCAGTCTGGCTCTTCCAGTTGACCACTGTCTAATATGCAGCACAGCTCTGCTCCATGTCATCTGTATGCTTATGAAGAGTCAGTTGTACAGTACTTATACTCAAACCTCTTCATATCAGTTGTATCTGCCATTCTATTTGCATGACATAAATATTATGGAAACTGATGAAATGTGAGTGCAAAAGAGTGACTGATTTCATAAAAACTAAATGACTGCTTTAGGGTGACAGATAAGTGTGAATTATTAAACCTGATACTGAATGAGGTATGGGTAAGACAACTGTTAAAAACTGGGGGAAAATCATAAGAAAAACTCCAAACTTTAAGTGTCAGTTTTTGCTCCACTTCAAGAATAATGAAAATATATATTCTGGTCATGATTTATGTGAGGATAATGAAGTAGAACTCTTATCAGCAGATTCATCCTTAAAAGGCCTTGTCTCAATATCAATGATTGATGAATGCATCTACTGTTACGTGCTTTAATTTAAAATAAGGTATATGTATCTTTTAGTGATTGCCTATATTAACTGACATTTTCGATTAACTGACCCAATCCCTTTGGATAAAGGAGCTTTTACTATACAAAAATGCCATCTTATAGTGACTGGATTACAAAGTAACTTTAGAAGAAATACTTTCTCCTAAATTAGCAATAATACTCTGATGTAAAAACTGCTTCCCTAAATACAAAATGAGTTTTTGTAATAATCCTCATATACTGAATATCAACACTGTCCTAGACCTGGTATCCTCTCTTAAGGTAACAGCACAACAGCCCATTTTCAAAGATTAAGTTTTTCAAACCCAAGAGAATATCACTGTACTCCCCACAAGAGAAGAGAGACACTATCTTTCTTTTCAATAAGCTCAATTTGTTTGTACCTGTATGTCTGAGCATCATTTTTTTCTTAAAACCATATTTTACCACTCTAAGATATACAATTTAATCCCTGAAATCCTTCAATAAATTAGAAGAACTTTTTCTTTCTTAAAGTAATGATGCATTGTATAAATAATGGTATCATAGATTTAAAGCAATAAGTAGTAAGCTTTCTAAAGTGTGATATTTAGAGTACCCAAAAGTAATAGCTACTTTTTAATGATATCAGGGTAAGTTTGGGAGCATACATAAAAGAAGTATAGAAAACCATACAATCTGCACAAATAACAACTTAGTCAATGAAAATTGAATGGTCTTAGAAGACATCAATAAGTCAGTCAACAACACATAGTGTAACATTGCATAGGAAGACTGAATATACCATGATGTTTTATATCCATTGTTTAATAAGCACCTACTATGTGCCAGGCACTGTATGTAGTAAAAGCTTTGTTGCTATTATTTCTAATCTTTGGAATGATGTCATAAAACAAGTATTTTACTCATCCAGCAAATACATACTGAGTGCCTACTATGTGCCAGCTACCAAAGATGAACTTAATAGACAGGTCCCTATCCTCATCAAGCTGATATTCTATGAGAAGAGATAATAAGGAAATGGACATTCTAATAAAACAGGCAAGCTTTTCAGATAGTGATATGTATTACAGAGAAAATTCAAACAAGATACTATGGCAGAGATGAAGGGAGGAGAGAAGAGATTATATGCTAGTTAGGGAACCCTTTCTGAGGATGTGACACCTCCTCCTTGGGAGCTAAGACCCAAATAACAAGAAAGAGCCAGAAGCGTAAGCTCTGAGGGATGAGCTTGAGGAGGGAGTAATAAGTACAAATTGTTTTAGATGGGAGTGGGCTTGGCATATCTCATGAGGATGGTATGTGATGAATGTGGAGTGTGGTACAACAGAAGTGAGAAAGGACAGAGGGGTTATATCTTAGAGGACCTTGTGAAAACATGGTAGCAGGTTATTCTATGTGGAAAAAGAAGACGATTGGTGAGTTTTAAGCAAAGGAATTACATGACCTTTTTAAATGACCACTCTGGTTACTCTGAGGCAACTGTAGCAAACCAGAGACAAAGCAGCAGGGAGATAGAACATTTTTACAGTATTCAAGAAATAACAGTGGTTTGGAAGAAGATAATAGCAGCGAGATAGACAGAAGCAGACAGATTCAGGTTACATGTTGGAGGAAGGTCCAAAGAACTTGCTGATGGATATGGGAAATGGGAGAAAGAGAGGACTCAGTGAGAAATTCTAGTTTTTATGCTTCAACAACAGGATTAGACAGTGGTGCCACTTACTATGATGAGAACACTAAAGGAAAAAGAGGTGGCTGTCAGACATCAAATTAGGTATGTCGAGCAAGCAGTTAGGTATATTCTTGGAGCTCGGAGAAGTTAGGACTAGAGATATAAATTTGGGAGTCAATGGCGTACAATTTGAATTAAAACCAGTGGATTAAAGTCACTGTGGGAGAGTTTTGAGAGGAAAACCAGGAGAGTGTGGTATCCTGGAAGCCAGGAGAATAAAGAATTGCCAAAAAGAGTTAAGAGGCTTAGTAAGATAAGAATAGAGAAGTAGCTATCAGTTTTAAAGGTCACTTGTGATCTTGACAAGAGCAGTTTGAGGGCTGTGGTGGGGATGAAAGCTTGATAGAGACAATGAAACTTAAGGAAATTGAGAAGTGTCTAGATCAGGCGTCCTCAAACTATGGCCCTTGGGCCACATGTGGGTGTTTTTGCCCGTTTGTTTTTTTACTTCAAAATAAGATATGTGCAGTGTGCATAGGAATTTGTTCATAGTTTTTTTTTTAAACTATAGCCTGGCCCTCCAACGGTCTGAGGGACAGTGAACTGGTCCCCTGTTTAAAAAGTTTGAGGACCCCTGGTCTAGATAAAGCTTTGGAAAATGTTTGCTGTGAAGGGAAGGAAATTGGACGGCAGTTGGAAGGATTCATGGAGTTTAAGACTGGATATAATAAAGCATGGTATCAAAAAACTGGTTTTAAGATAGCAGATATTTTTATCCCCATTCTCAGATGAAAAAGTGGGGTGGGGAACCTCTGGCCTCGGGGCCATGTGGCTTTCTGGATCCCTGCATGTGGCCTTTTGGCTGGATTCAAATTTTACAGAGCAAATCCTTTTCATAAATCCTAGACTCTAGATTAAAATTTAGGTCAGACTTCAAAGCTTATGATCCTTCCACATCTCTGTGCTCTTTCTGATTTATAGGACAATTAAGAAGTAGATTAAAAAGTCATGTTTTCTAGTGAAATTGTAAAAAGAGAGTAGCAGTAATACCTTCATATACTTATACAGTGAGGAGGAACATGGTAAAACAAGCAGGTTGTAATAGAGTTTGGCTTTGCCTGCTAGGAACTACCTAACTCCATGTTTTATTGTGAAGGAATGGTGCACACAAAATTCACTCAAGTAGGCTTGAAACTACAAAGAGTAGAAATTTATAAGCCCTCTTCTATGAATGCTCTTACCTACCTGGCTTTTTTTGAAGTCAAAGCTTTATTTTCATTTAGCTTTCTTCCACCACTTTCTGTATCAAAATAAAATACATTTTAGTAGGTTATTTCTATACATTGAACATATAACATTTAAAAATTACTTAAAAAGTTCATTCTTTGACCTTCTCCCAATGAAACAGCCTATATCTAAATCTTTAAAACCCTCATTTCATAGCTAGGTTAAGGCTCTACTTAAAAAGAAAACAGAAGGAAAGCAACAAAAATTTGTGTAAAATACAAATTTTTGATTTCTCAGACTCAGAGTGGTACTTTAGGGATGAGTCTACATTTACTGTATGTACTGAAGCCACTACTTTGATGTCATAGACTTAAATAGAATGGAAGGGTTTCTTTTCCTTCTAAAACATATTTTACTATATGTATTTAATGATAATGAAGGTGAAAACAGTTTAAATGATTTGTTCAAGAATATGAAAATCAGGTGAAGAGAGGGGAAGTTAAATAGACTGTAAGCTGAATCAAATCAAATACAGTGATATAGTTATCACCTGAAAATAATTTACTACTTTTGCTATCTCCTGCCTACCATATTAGGAACCTGTACATGTAACTGAGAGAACTAAATAGAAGATATTAAATCATTGGTGGACACAATAATCTTTAATGTTTAATAGATGAAATACTCTGAACACATAATGTTCCATTTTACAAATAATATAAAAGTGAAAATGTTATTCACAGAAAGTTCTTGATTTAATTTCAATTTTCTAAAAGAAAAAATACCTGTGGTATTCCTAGCACCATCTTTCCATGTATCTGGAGTGATAACAGTACCAAGTTTCTTTTCACCTGTTATAACAAGATAGTAAAGGGGGAATTAAAATTTACTATCTAATAAATACACTACATTGTGTCTAAGGTTCACAATGGTATCAACACCCATACTACAGTAGGAGCCTGTTAATGCTGGGATAGGGGCCAGTGAACTGAGACTCAAGATATTAACTGTGGCTAAGTAAAATCTGAAATATAATAAGATAATTATAATGGGCTTTCACTGTTTAAACAAATCTGATAAGTCTACTCATTCCATAAACATTTACTAAGCATCTATTATGTAAAAACCACTATACAAAGTGCTGACAAAAATAAATCAATTAATCAGACAAAACTCTAGATTTCAAGGACATTATATAGTACGCTAATTTCTCTAACAGCAGTCTTTAACCTGAGTTCCAAAGACAGACCTTAGGAGATATGTTAACAAGGGGGAGTTGTACACAAACCTTTTGTAGGTCTTTTTTTTTTTTCTGGTAAGAGTCTATAGCTTTCAACAGGGATTACAGACTTTCCCCCCTCTCCAAAAAAGGTAAGAGCCATTCAACCAATATATAAGCTAAAAATAAAACGTATAACAATTGAGAACTAGAATAAATTTAGAGCTAAAGTACTAGGAGAAATTCCACGCAGAAAGAAATAACCCTGGCTAGGGAAATCCAGGATAGTTTTGTGGCGAAGACAACAGAGAGTATATGAATATGTGGCATAGGACTGTGAAGAAAGAGGAGGAAAAGAGGCTGAGGGCAAAATAAATAAAGGATACATCCTGAGGAAAGGCATGGAAAGCTCAGAGTACACATGGGCACAAAGAGTAATTTGGTTTGGTCTAGTCTAAGTGTGTAGAAGGTAAGGGTCAGTGAAGATGAAGTTAGAAAGATAAGCTGGGGCTTTATTGTGGAGGGTCTTGTATGCCAGACTCCAAAAATATAAACAACCAATTATTCACCGCACATTGAAAAAGTATTAAAGGTTTTAAGTTAGGGAAGTAACAAATTGTACTTATGTGGAGGTTCGATTTAAATATCTGCTAGGCTTACTCTAAGCCATATCCCGGCATAATGACGAGTAAGAAAGGGTAAGACGAGGTCCCTACCCTTCGGTTCTAGTGCCCAGCATTTGGCAGGAGTATATAATACTCGTTGCATTAACGAAAAGGAAAGGTTAGAAAATTCAAGAGGAAAAGGTGTAGTCAATGTTTAACTGAGCATTTTTTATGGAAGGGGGGACTGATGAGCTATGAGACTGGGGGGAGGCAACAGAAACAGGCAAAGAGGTGCAGAACTGAGACTGTTCTGAATACAAAATATACAGAACTATAAGGTCGTTGGGGAGGGACATGGATAGTTATGGTGACGGTAGGAGGACAGAGGCTAGAATCAGCGACCTTTGGGCGAAAAAAAAACAAAGAAAAGGCAAAGTTCCTGGCAGAGTAGTTAGGTGCTCCCAGCCTCCTCCCGCAGAAGCGGCCCCTCAACTCACATTTTTCGCACACCATCCTTTCGCCGTGTCTTCCCTAGAATCCAAAGCAACAACAGCTTGAAAACATCAACACTACAGCCTTCAAAGGATTCCCCTTCCGGGTTACGTTAATCCACTTCCGGCTCCGAAGCCCGCCGCTCTCGCCTATCCCTCACCAGGAAGGCCGCGGGAGGAATAAATGCGACGAATAGGCGCGACTGTTCCATTAGCCCGCCCATCCCTCTCTGCAATTGGCTCTGCGGCCCTGCGTCTCCGCCTTACAGACCTGCGCCTGCGCGAGGGTCAGGGCGTCCTGTGGTACCTGACGGTGGGAGGCAGTAGTCCCCCCTTCTCTTCCGCGGGCGGGAGAGTTAGGTAAGCCCCGCTGGACGCCCCCGGCACGCTCGTTTCCCAGGAGTGCAAGCCACCCCTGCCAACTGCCGAAGTGGCCGTGAGTCGGCGCCCGCGGCCCGCCTGCCGGCCGCTCGAGCGCCGCTCTTCCGGCGTGCCCCGGGGGCTGATCCGTGAATGGATCCTCTTTCCGATCCGAGTGTCATTCTCTGTCCTCAGTTTTCCCGTCTCCAACACCTGTGCTCTTTGGTTATGCCTCAGCGCGTTCCTCGCTGCGCACACTCCCGCCGGCTGAGGCTTGGGCAGAGTCCCTGACGACCCAGTTTGGGGTGGGGCTGCAGATGGAGGTCGGGAGGTTCCCGTGGATGATACTGTGGGAACGGCTTGGAAGCGCCTTCTCTCCGCTCTGCGCCTGTCTGACCGCCGCGCGCACGACTTGCGTCCTCGGGGGCACGCAGGGGTCTGACTTAGCGCTGGTTGCTCAGGAGGGTCAAACACTTTCCCTACTCTGGTTCCTTCATTCATTCAGCAGACATTTGAGTTTGGGTACTTCCCACTGTATCAGATCCGAGTCTGCTGATGGCTGCTGGGATTCTGAGAGTGGCCCAGAAAAATGTCCGTGTTGAGAGAATAGATTCCTGATCTTTTTGCCCGCTTACAATCAGATGGGGATAGAATCTGTGGGAAACTTTTTTATTATCATTATTATTATTACTCCCCCACCTGCCCCGATTCTGTGGGAAACTTTTTTCTTTGTCCCTTCTTGCCACTCTCTCTTTGCCCGATCCCTTTATATCTCTGTATATCTTCATATCAAAGAAATTAGCCTTTAAAATGGCTTTATCGGTTGGGACCTTGGGTGTGTCTCTCTAGCCTGTTTATCCAGTTTCCTTATAAGTAAAATATTTGCCTTTGAGAATTATTGTGTGAATTAAATGAGAGCTATTAGGATAAGACCCACCTCCACTCTAATACTTTTCACACTAGTGGATGCCCCTGCCATTCCCGTGTGTGTGTGTGTGTGTGTGTGTGTGTGTGTGTGTGTATGTATTTGTTTATATTTTTTTCTGGAATGTTTCTATTTTCTGAAATATTCACCAGTGCAGTATACTGAATATTACTTTAATAAAGTTCTTAGTCAATACAATATATGAACTCTCAGGTGATTTAAATTTATATATGTATTTAGAGACAGTAAATTTTTTTTTCCTTTTTCCAGTCATGTTCTACTTTTGATTGGAAATTAGCACCTGTACCTTCTCATTTCGGTATTTCTAGGGCACTGGGATCCGTTAGTTTAGCGTGATGCTCTTTGAACTTTCTTGATTGCACTGGCCACCATTTGAGTATTTGTGCACTTGGTGTCACTTGGCATTTCCTAGAAGATGTGAACTATTGTAATGTTAGATAAGGGTAAAAAATGCCAACAATTTAGCCCAAGTGTATCATGAGGTTTCTAGAATGCATAGGTTATATTTCACACAGAGGTGAATCATTTAATCCATAAAGTTAGTTTCATCTCTGTGATTTTGGCAAAAAAAGCAAAATGAATTGTTTAATTGGTTCTAACACATGATCCTTTTGCAGAAACCAGTTACAATATTTAAGAAATTAGTAAATTTGTCCTTTTTAGGCTCTGAGAGATATTTGTACCATATTAAGAAAATCATAAGTTAGAATAGAATGTTAAGTCTATATGTGGGTGTACACATGTGTATCTTCCTGTGTTTTGATATAAATACATTGCCCATAGAAAGTTGATTTTAGTTCACGGCTTATTTTTAGGGGTTGAAGCATTTAGAACAAAGAAAAAGTCATTATTATATATACTCTTCTTAATTTGTTTTTCATTAGGTAGCCACACAAGAAAACGCCATGAAAGATAATGATATCAAGAGACTACTGTATACTCATCTTTTGTGTGTATTTTCAATTATCCTAAGTGTCTTCATTCCATCATTCTTCTTGGAGAACTTCTCAATACTGGAAACACATTTGACATGGTTGTGCATCTGTTCTGGTTTTGTGACTGCTGTCAATCTAGTGTTATATTTTGTAGTGAAACCAAATGCATCCTATAAAAGAAGTTCATTATCACACAAGGTAAGGTTTACTTCTTAATAACGGATTTTTAGATGGAGCTAGTGTTTCTTTTAATGGAAGAATAAAATATTAGTCACATCCTCACTGGGTTATTTGCAGTATGAGAACCTGGTGGGGGTTTTTTCCAAATTGGTAGCCTGTTAGAATTGCTGGAAGCCTGCCCACAATGATTGATAGATCCTTGCCATGCATTAATTGTGGAATTATGACTCGTTCAGTGGCTATTATAGCATTGTGAGTCAATATAATTATTGTTTTATGTCACTATTGAAAACAAATACATGTGACAAAAAGAAAATATGAGCAATTTATATTCTCAAAAAAAATACATGTGGCAGTCTATTTTTAAAACTTATTCTGTAAGACATTATAATTTATTTTCATTTGTTTTTGCACTTCTGAAAGACACTTAATGGGTTTTTCAGAAACTGCCAAATAAGTGTTTGTGGTAACTCTCATTTTGAACATAGCCTTCCTTGACTAAACAATTAAAGTTTTCAGATATTAGAACCAATGGAATATTCACTGCATTGTAACATTTGGCTATTACTTTAATAAAGTCCTCATTTAACAGTATTTCATACTATGTATAAACTCTCAGTTAATTAAAAAACACCTTTACTGCCTTATGATTTAAAAAATTGAGTGTGCATTTTATAATTATATCTTAAGCTCCAAATCAAGAAGGTCCCATGTGCTTATTTGTAGACATTCTAGGTCTTTTTCCATATGGATCTTATAGTAATATGAATGTGGTTTGGGGGATTATTTAGTATTTTGCTTTTTTGGTGCAATTTTCCCAGGAGTTTTGTTTTAAAATGAAAAAAGTTATAGACTTTTTTTTTGCAGATATTTCATGTATCATCACATGATAACTATGTGTTTTTGTATCCTATCTCTCTGTTATTGATAAATATTGATTAACAGCCTAGCTCAGTACATACCATAGAAACAAAAACTGTTTTTGATTCTAATGTTGAGTGGGTGGGTGGAATGGGGGGTTGATGTTTGCCTTTTATGCTTTTTACATTCTGTATTAAGGGTTGTGTATGTGTGTGGGCAGAGGACATATGTTCTGACTTGAGGATACTCAAATGCAAAGAACATTCAATACTTTTTTTTTTTTTTGAGACAGTCTCTATCTGTCACCCAGGCTGGAGTGCAGTGGCCTCATCACAGCTCACTGCAACCTAGATAGAACCCCTGAGCTCAAGCGATCTTCTAGCCTCAGCCTCCTGAGTAGCTGGGACTATAGGCCTGTGCTAGCACACCCAGCTAATTTTTCTATTTTTTTGTAGAGATGAGGTCTCACTCTTTCTCAGGCTGGTCTTGAACTCCTGGCCTCAAATGATCATTCTGCTTCAACCTCCCATAGTGCTAGTATTACAGGTGTGAGCTACCACATGCAGCCATCTATATTTTTACACATTATGGGAATAAGTTGTATTTGTAGATAAAATGGAAGAGTTTATCATCCTTTAGGCATTCTCTTGAATCTCCAAATTATTCATTTCTCTTTTAGGTAACCAGATTCTTGAAATGCTGTATCTACTTTCTTATGTCTTGTTTCACCTTTCATATAATTTTTGTTCTGTATGGAGCACCACTAATAGAGTAAGTTTGACATTTTTACCTGAAATGTATATTTTAAAACACTCATTTACTAAACACTATGCTAACTCTTGGCAATTAGCAAAACCTGTGGTATGCTTAATTAATGGATCAAGTAAGGATACCAACATCATTGCCTTTCTTTAGCAGTGTTATTCTTTTAAAAATCAGTGGAATAACAATTCATTAAATGTTTTTATTATCTGGCCTTCTATTAATTGCATGTTGGGAGAAGGGAGGGTAGATGAGAAACTATACTATACCAATAAATGGGTGGTCCTTAGAACCTCTAAGAAAACTTACTATAATGATATGTATGTTAGTTATAATTAATGTATGAGATCTTAGTAAATGTGATTCCAAAGTACTTGAAAAGTTTGTTTTCTTAATGAAGGTCTACAGATTCCTTTATTCAAATAATAAGCCGATGTTTACGGTTTAAAGGTATAATTTAGCTCAATACTTTTTAAAAATGGACCCACTTTTAAGTTATTTGAAACCAAATTCATGAATATTTCTTATATAATGTTTATTGTAGCATGGGAAATGTCAGTTTAGCAATAATTAATGATCATAGTGACATAAATGATGAGATATAATTTTATATATTTATAAAATATATAATTATATATTAATACATTTATAATTATATTTTATAATTTATAATATATTTATAATTAATTTTATATATTTATACATAGCTATGCATACACTAAACTAACTGGTTATTCTTTTCTAGACAGAGAAGACAAGACCTTTGTTATGGAAAACGGTGGTTTTGGTCTAATCCATTTTAGTGTAGAATATATGTGTCTGGAGCAGTGCTTCTCAAAATATGGTCTTTGAACCAGTAGTGTAAGCATTTTATTGAAATGCAAATTCCAGGCTTCAGTCAGAAACTCTAGGGGATGGGGCCCCCTAATCTTTAGTTTGTCCAGCTCTATAGGTATTAATAGTTCAAATATAAGTTAGAGTTGAACCACTGGTTGTAGAGAAAGTTCCAGAGATTATTAAAAAAGAAAGCTAATTGTCTAGAATTGAGTTTTTTCTTGCAATGGAAGTCTCAGTGAGGATCTTAGGGTCTTTAACACTTTTGACATCTATTATGAAAACCAGATATTTGCTAAATTTTTTGGCCAAATGCAAAAGCTTGCATTTTGATAATAAATTTATTTGTAGTCATTATTTTGGTGGGACTCATGGTACTTCTCAAAGTAAAATATGAGAAAATACTTTTATATTTATTTATGTAACAAATGTGATATGTGTATATGTGCACCTTTAACACTTTTTAAAAAATTAATAAAGTTTTTTTTTCTAGGTTGGTGTTGGAAACATTTTTATTTGCAGTCATCTTATCTACTTTTACTACTATACCTTGTTTATGTTTGTTAGGACCAAACCTCAAAGCATGGCTAAGAGTTTTCAGTAGAAATGGGTAAGTTTTAATTTATATTTTAGTGATGTTTGAAACTTCTAAAAATTAAAGAAGTATTTTTCTATTCATGGCAGTTTACTGGTTATTCCGTGTGCATTTTTCAGCATTTTATGGTTCTGGGAGGTGCCTTAAGGGGCTACTGTGGCTGGGGACTGAGGACAGGGAAGGCAGAAAGGACATAAGCCCCTTCCTCCAGTTCAGCAAAATCAGCTCGGCTTTTTCCTGTATGGTAGACTTCCACTTAGTCCTTTGTTTGAAAAAGTTTCTGCTACCAAAAGAAAGCTTTGAAAACCATTGCTCTGGGATAAATTGGTGCTGTGATAAAATTGCTACAAATGAAATTGCTTACACATATTTCATAATGTAGAAATGGGGTCCACAACCTAAAAATGTTTTGTATGACAGTGATAATTTCTTGTTTAGCCTTTTGCATGGTAAGATATCAGAGTGCAAGTTTTATAGGATTTAATTTTCTTATCACCCATATATATTTTCAGCATGGCTAAGTTAACATTTTAGTTTCTTGAAAGGCATTAAAATGATATGTACCAGAAATAGTTGAGTACAAATTAAGAAAACCAGAAGATTTTTTTATCCTCCTTATCACTCAGCAGCAAAAACTTCTTGAGCACTTACTCAGAGCTCTGTTATGCTAAACTATTTGTGGATTCTCAAGTATTATCAGGAAAATGCTTTCCCTGAGAAGCTTTCATGTTCAAAGGACAAAAATGAAATGAGCAAAAAATATAAAACTAAAATTGTGTAAACCCAACAATAAGTTCTGTAGGAATTCATAAGGGTAGGGGATCCATAAAGAATGGAGCTGCAGAGAGGAATGATCTGTGACAGACTTGGATCAGGAGTATAAGACTTGGTGAGATGGAAAAGGAAGGGAAAGACGCCTTATGCAAGAGGAATGAATGAAAGCATAGAAACTGAAATGAACAGGGTCTTTTTGTGTCATTTGGAAGGAAATGGCCCAAGGAGAGCAGAGAATATGTGCTAGGTAGCTTGGCTTCCATAAATTACTGACTTTTTCCTTTTGAAGTTACTACTATTTGTTTGCCTTTAGAACCATCTTCTAGTATTCATAAAGTCTCCTGAAAACAAATGTGTAACAACTGAAAACTTTTTCCACATTGTTATCATAGTATCCCAGATGGAATTAATTTCTTTTAGCATTTTAGTCTGAAAATTTTAAACAGTGAAAACTGATTAAAATCTTATTGGTTTGGATTGGTGATTTATCCAGTTTTAAATTCTGTGTCTCATAATTAATGTCTATTTGGGGGAGAAATTATCATGTGATTTTACAGTTCTGCTATAACATGGCATATATGTTCCTAAAAAATCACTGCGCTATACAAAATGGGCAATAAAAACCTCAGATTTTATAAGAAAGTTGGGGTTAGGGATGTAACATGCAAAAAATTGATCAATGACACATAAAAAGAACACGGGAACTTAAAAATGGTAGCATAGTTTTACACGTTATATCTGTGGTCCTTAAACCCCGGCCCAGTCTGTGGGATGTTAGGGACTAGGCCACAGAGCTTCACCACCCAGCCCTAGCACCTGGAAACCGTTCCCTGGTGCCAAATAGTTTGGGGACCACTGCATGGTTAAGAAATACAGCCATTCCTCATTTTATTGCACTTCATTTTATTTCACTTCACAGATACAGCATTTTTTACAAATTGAAGGTTTGTGACAACCCTGCACCAAGCAGGTCTATGTCATTTTTCTAATAGCATGTACTCTGTGTCTCTATGTTACAATTTGATAATTCTCACCATATTTTAAATATTTTCATTTATTTGTTACGGTGATCAGTGATCTTTCATGTTATTATTGTAATTGTTTAAGGGGTGACGTGAACTGTGCCCATATATGATAATGAACTTAATAAATGTGTGTGTTCTGACTGCTGTACCAACCGGCCATTCCCCTATCCCCCTTCCTCTGTTTAGGCCTCCCTATTCCCTAAAACATAGCAATATTAAAATTAGGACAATTAATAACCCTATAATGGCCTGTAAAGTATTCAGTTGAAAGGAATAGTCACATATCTTTCACTTTAAATCAAAGGCTAGTAATGACTAAGTTTAGTGATGAAGACACAGGAAGCAGAGATGGGCTGAAAGCTAGGCCTCTTGTGCCAGTTAGCCAAGTTGTGAATACAAAGGAAAAGCTCTTGAAGGAAATTAAAAGTGCTACTCTAGTGAGCACATGAATGATAAACCAGCAAAACAGCCTTATTGCTGAGGGAGAAACTTTCAGTGATCTGCATAGAAGATCAAACCAGGCACAACATTCTAAGCCAAAGCCTAATCCAGAGCAGGACCCTTAACTTACGCTCTTCAATTCTGTGAAGGCTGAAAGAAGTGAGAAAGCTGCAGATGAAAAATTTGATGCTGGCAGAGGTTGGTTCATAAGATTTAAGAAAAGAAACCATCTCTATAACAGAAAAATGCAAGTTGAAACAGCAAGTGCTAATGTAGAAGCTGCAGCAAGTTATCCAAAAGATCTGGCTAAAATGGTTGATGAAGGTCGCTGTGTTAGCTAAACAACAGATTTTCAATGTAGATGAAACAGCTTTATAGTGGAAGAAGATGCCTTGTAGGACTTTCATAGCTAGAGAAAAGTCAATGCCTAGCTTCAAAGAACAGGCCGACTCTCTTCTTAGGCGCTAATGCAGCTGGTGACTTTAAGTTGAAATCAATGCTTATTTACCATTCAAAAATCCTAGCGCTCTTAGGAATTATGCTAAATCTATGCTGTGCTCTATCAGTAGGACAACAAAGCCTGGATGATAGCACATTTGAAGCATGGTTTACTGAATATTTTAAGACCACTATTGAGACTAACTGCTCAGAAAAAAAGATTTGTTTTCAAAATATTATTGCTCACTAACAATGTACCTAATCACCCAAGGGCCCTGATGGAGAAGTACAAGGAGATTAGTATCACTTTCATGCCTACTAACACAATATCCATTTTGCAGGAGTAATTTTGACTTTCAAGTCTTATTACTTAAGAGATGTATTTCATAAGGCTGTAGGCTGCCAAAAATGATGATTCCTTTGATGGTTCTGGGCAAAGTAAATTGAAAACCTGGAAAGGATTCACCACTTTAGATGCCATTAAGAACATTTGTGATTCATGGGAAGAGGTCAAATATCAACATTAATAGGAGTTTGGAAGAAGTTGATTCTAACCGTCATATAGGACTTTTAGGGGTTCAGGACTTCAGAGGAAATAACTCCAGACATGGTAGAAATAACAAGAGAACTAGAATTAGAAGTGGAGCCTGAAGATGTGACTGAATTGCTACAATTTCATGATAAAACCTTAACAAATGAGGAGTTGCTTTTAATGAATAAAAGAGAAAGTAGTTTCTTGAGATGGAATCTATTCCTGGTGAAGATGCTGTGAATAATGTGGAAATGACAACATAGGCCTTAGAATATTATATAAACTTAATTGATAAAGCAGCAGCAGGGTTCGAGAAGACTGACTCCAATTTTGAAAGAAGTTCTGTGGATAAAAATGCTGTGAAATAACATTGAATACTATACAGAAGTCTTTCGTGAAAGGAAGTCAATCAATGCAGCAAACTTCATTGTTGTCTTATTTTAAAAATTTGCCACAGCCACCCCAACTTCAACACCCACCACCCTGGTCTGTCAGCAGCCATCAACATGGAGGCAAGGCTGTCCACCAGCAAAAAGATTACAACTTGCTGAAGGCTCAGATGATTGTTAGCATTTTTAGCAATAAAATATCTTTTAATAAAGGCATGTACATTTTTTGGAGACATACTGCCATTAGACACTTACACACTACAGTATAGTGTAAACATAACTGGGAAACCAAAAAATTCATGTGACTGTTGCGCTATTTGCTTTATCGCAATGGTCTAGAACCTAACCCTCAATATCTGCGAGGCATTCCTGTACATAAACATTACATTAAATATGGCTCTTTTCCTTGGAAAAGACTTGAAGTTTGCTTTTGGAAGTAGATGTGAGAAAATTTGCCTCCCACATGTTACTGCGAAATTATAAAGATGATTGTTGGAAATCTGAGGGAAAGTCAACACTAGATATGGATGGGTGTGGCTCATGACACATGTAGTAAACTGAGGTTGCTGGCATACAGTCTTTGTAAAAACAGTATTGAGAAATAATACACATACCATACATGTCACCTATTTAAAGTATACAATTCAATGATTTTTAGTCTATTCACATATATATTACCAGAGTCCATTTTGGAACATTTTTATCACCTCAAAAAGAAACTTTGTAACCCTGTATCTTTTAGCTATCACCTCCTTATCTCCCCACCCTGACCCCCAAGCTGTGAGTAACCACTAATCTACTTACTGTCTCTATAGATTTGCCTATTGTGGAAATTTTATATAAATTGAATCATATATGATCTTTTGTGACTGCCTGCTGTTAGCACAACATTTTCAAGGTTCATCCATGTCATCTGACATATGTCAGGACTTTGTTCCTTTTTATGGCTGAATAATATTCCACTGTATGTATAAATATATCACATATTGCTTACCCATTCATCAGTTGTTAAACATCTGTGTTCTTTCCACATTTTTATTATAAATAAGCTGGTGTAAACATTTGTATATAGGCTTTTCTGTGGACATATTTTTATTTCCCTTGGATATAGGCCTCAAAGTGGAATGGCTGGGTTATATGGTAGCTCCATGTTTAATCATCTGAAGAACTTCCGGACTGTTTTCAAAAGCAGCTGCATCATTTTGCATTTCCATGGCAGTATATGAGGGTTTTGCTTCCTCCACATCCTGTAAAACACTTATTATCTGATTTTCTGATTATCCTATCCTAGTGGGTATGAAGTGAGTTACCATGAGAGGGTAACTTAAGTCTTCATGTCTCCACCATACAGTAGTGATAGTTCAATTTCTTCTTAGCATTTTTACCATATTTCAAAAATTTACTATAGATAATATG